TGTGTGCCACGTGTGTATGTGTGTGTGTGTGTGTGTGTGTGTGTGCGCGGTCAGGAAACGAGGATGTGACAATGTGAAAGAAAATGTAGCATTCTTGGAAGAAAAAAAAAAACAAAAAAAAGAGCGAAACATTCACCACAATTCTTGATTTTAATACCGCTTGGAATGTTGTCGTTGTCTTGAAACCTGTCAGCAGTGCACAGCAGCGGTGTTCAGTCGACGGGAGGAAGAGGGGGGAGGGGGGCGGGGGGAGTGTGAAAGGAACTCATGAGTTTCACACCGAACGCGCACGCCCCATCTGCGATAGGTATTAAGTGACATCACTTTGTATTTCTCGGACGTAGTTGCAATGGATGGCGCGAGTCACGTGTGTGACTGTGGGCGGCCTTTCATGTCATTATGGACGATGAACTCACACCGAGCTCGGGCATGTCCATCCGTTGTGGAAGACAGGAGGACGGCACAAGAGATAGTTGGGGGGGGTATCGGTGAACCGTCAAATAGTGCTCCCATTAATCTGGTCAGTGGGGAAAGCGAGGAGGTTGAGCCCCCTCCCGATGTAGAAGCAGACTGCGCATCCGAAGAACAACAACAACAACACACAGAGCCATTCGAAAGCTCCCGCAAACTTGCGCCGCAAACTTGCGGCACTGATTTTCTCATGCAGGGGTGGTGTGGGCATGTCCCAAACTGACGTTGGGTGTCTGTTGTCACTCCTCAAGAATCCTAGATTCGACCCAAGAGATATCGCATTTCGTAACAGTCGTGAGTGTCTGACATGGGCAAACCGCCAGGCTGAGGCTGCAGGGTGGCAAGAGATCAATCTACGTGGTGATGATTGGCCAGAAGAAGCGCACACCATTTTGTGGTACCGCGACTGGCGCACAACGTTCGTTGACCTTGTACGTGCTGCACTGCACAACGTTGAAACGGTTTCTTGCCTCGAAATAGAACCTTCCGGGGAGGAAATCAACATATGTGGCTCTTGCACGGGCCAGTTGAGCCACCATGTCCAAACTGTTATCAGAGCGGACAAGGGTGTGGACACGTGCACAGTGTCCAAAAACGATTTCGATGTCATCGCCGATTTCAGCAACTGCAGGAGGTCGTAGACGCTATAGACGCAACTTGCTGCGAACTGCTTCAACAATGGGGACAATGATATTCGTCATGCCGCAGAGGCACGAATGTCAGAATTGAACATGCATAAGCATATTCAAGAGAATGGTCTTTGGGGATTTTATAGGGGTCCGAATGGTGACGATCCTCAACTAGATTACCATCTCGCTTTGCAACCGGACCGTATGCACACCATTGAACACGATATTTTCTTGCATATGATAGATGCATTCAAGGCAGCAGCTTATAAGAAGTTGCCGGATATCGCGCAAACCGAGATATTGCACGAGATGGATGCGAGGTTGCAGAGCATCAGTGAGAGATGTGCTCGTGTTGCCCGTGGCCAAAGGTTGTGATTTCTTTTCAAGGGAATGACGTTTTGAAGCGAAGCAAAATCGGTCCGTTATGAAAGTTTGCGTGTTTATTATTTGTGATATCATCCCACGTGCGACAGGCAAATCCATTTGCGCTTGTTTCATCAAACTCATGGAAATGTACATACACGTATTTCGTAAGCCGACCCACACTGCGACTTCTCTCGATGTATGTGACGCATTGATAGGTGATTTCATAACGAGTATAAAAACGGAGATGGGAAAATATCAAACCTCGGATTGGAAAATTCTGAAGTTGCACGACCTTATGCATCTGAGAACATGCATAGAGCGATCCGGTGTCCCTGACACCTTCGCGGCTGATGTGTGGGAGCATCATCATCAGAGGTTCTGCAAACAGCCATATCTGGCATCGAACAAGCGCAAGGCCGCTTCCCAGATGGTGAATCATGTCCGACGCTCATTGGCTTTGCAGGATGAGATGAAGATTGTGAGAAAACGAAGAAAGAGGTCGACAGAAAATTGGTCATCCGTGACAGACTGTATGGACACTGGAATTAATACCCTTGCTGCGAGCGACACAACAACTCTACAACTCCGGTGGTTCCAGATGGACGGTGTGCATTTGTCGGAGGTGGAGGGTATAAGCAACGAGGCGTTGAGAATGCTTAACGAACTTCCCTGCAGAGAAGATTTTTGAGCTGCGCTTACGACGTTCATGATGGAGAACGGCTGTGAACCTCCATCTGATGACCAAGTGATACACACTCGAACACACTTGACTATCGCCGCCCCACATGACGGGACGCACAGGGGCGCAGGCGTTCAAACGGCAAGAGCTTCACCACAGTTCCACGGGAGAGCCATGCACAACGATGTTGCAGTGAGAGGCGGGAATGACAACATATGATATGCATCGGTAACCATGTTTTTCGTCATGAACACTTGCATAGGGGGTGTCGCGGAGATGCAGAAGTGTTGATTTGTGCAATGGTACAAAGAGGTGGATAGTGAAAGGGAACACACAACAAGTTGTAAGAAGTTGCAATGGGAGAAGGTAAACGGTCGTCAGCACAGTAGCGTCATAACGATTGACACCATCATCGAGACCGTTCACATTGTTCCTCGTTTTTGTAAACCACAGTGGGGCTCGAAGAAGCATGCAAAAGAGAGGGAGGATAATTTTTTGTTGAATAGATACATACTCTAGAAGTGTACATGGAAATAAAAAAAACAAAAAAACCAAAATTTCAAAGGTTGAACGTTTTTCCGAGAATAATCTGTGGTGGGTGTAGTCGCAATTTTATACTACAACAGGGGTCTTTCTTTTGTATTTCTTTTACACAAAGAGAGAGAGAGAGAGAGAGAGAGAGAGACGTTTGAACGACAATAGTAATTTCGTAAAGATGGAGTTCAAATATCGGTAGATTTTTAAAGCGGCGAGACTGTATTTCAGCCCGGCACGATCGTGCAAGATGGAACAACACGGTTGTTAGACTGTTTTTTTCGCACGGACAAGGATGTGTTACACCGTTACATAGCAGTATGTATGACGAAGGTATGACGAAGGTATCTTCAGAGTTGGCCACCGCATATGACTATGTCATCTTACACAACAATGTAGAGAAAGGTGCATCAAAGCAGTGTGTATGACGAAGGTAACTTCAGAGTTGACTACTGCGTGCACATGTATGGTGAACGTGGACTTAAGAAGTGGCAGGTGGCACGCACTAGCCAACCTATGTCTATACTTGCGTTCGACAAAAGGTCTTCACGTCACAGGAAACAGTCATTCTGACTCTCTCTCTCTCTCTCTCTCTCACACACACACACACACACACACACACACACACACACACATATTGTCGAAACACTAACCAACCTGCTGTGTAATTGACAAGATGTGGTTCATGGCCATGTGACTGCCATGTGGACAGAAAATGTTGAGGTCGAGGTAACGCCGGAACGACACTCTACACTGGAAGAAGTGTCAAGACAGCAAGGGAAAAAAATAAGCGTTTTCAAGAATTGTGGAGAAGTCGATTTAGACTGACACTTCAACCTTAGTCCACCAGCCGTGCCATCTGTTGTATGACGGAGAATGAGGGGTGTTCAGATGAGCGAATCTTACAAAATGAACGAGGAGGTAGATGGCAAGGGTTGTATCATGGGCTCAAAAGCGACGGAGAGTTCAGAAATAGCAAGGAATGACGAACAGTCATGTGGACCAAGTGTCAACGAGCCGTTGCTCCCGTTGAGCAGTGAGAGATTAGTGAAGCGATGGAAGAGGATACTGGAGGACCCGTGATATGGGAAAATGTACCAGATGATGACCACAGATAACGTCCAATATCCTCAGATGGCGCATGAACCTTTGTTCAGTATTGCAGGGGGCAATCGGTCAAGAGGTATGGTTGCAGAGGCTGGAAAGAGGTCCGAGAGGGTGGACGAGGAACACTTGTTCCCGTTTACGTGGACATCAAGAAGACACGCCATA